GTTATATTAAATAAATTCTACACTGAATAAAAGTTCAAAGTAGATTTGTATCAGTAAAGTATATGAACTCTACAGATATAAAGAAATTCAATAAAAAGTTTGGCGACACTGGAACAAAAAAAACTAAGCTATAAGAATATCGATGAAATGTTCAAATACCTACCCTTATTTATTCGATTTTAAGAGACAGTTTTCTGTTTCACTTAAAACGTTCCTTTACGATTGACTGCTCAAATAGTAGTTGTTGACAACGATAGAGGCGACTTAATAAAACCTTATCTATAGCATAGTGAATGGTGAATCAGCAATTTCCGGAAAGGAAAATGTTTTCATAAAAATATTTTGGACCATTTCCTTGTTCCGTGGCGTAGTTAATCGACGAGATTTTTTTCGTAAACACGCGATGGTGATGACAGAAATATAATTCATTTGTATTAGGCGATAGTTGTCGATAGATATTTTGATTAGAACAGAGTAGTGCACAATTCGATTTTGATATTTTAAAAGTATCTTTATAAGGTTTCATTGAAATAAATACTTTAAAATGACTTTTTAAACATTACTTGATTTTAATTTTTATTATATTCTTTATGTACTTTTATTTACAGCTTTTTCAGTAGGTAGTTATGAATTTACTTTTAATTAGATGCGCCTCATTGTTTGTGTCGCTTACTATACGTTTTGATTTTTTTTTCAATTTCTTTGGCTTGTGTTTTCATCTCTTCTATGGTCAACTACAGGAAAAAGCTAACAATTTGACTTTACTAAAGAAATCACAAACTCAGTTCGTTATCATATGTTATAATTATTATTTTATAATCATAGTACATAGAAGAAAAAGATAAGTGGATTTATCTATAATTACGATACAAAGTCAAATACTAGACTACCGTGCAGTTGACCATAGTAAAATGACCCTATTTAATACTGAATCCTTTTTACCAGATAAGGAATTAACGGACTGCTGCGATGACAACGGGAGACTGACGTTCACTGCCCAAACGAACCCCTCTTGTGCTCCCATATTGATACCTCGTAATGACCCTGTGCATGCACCACGAGGAACACAGTGCATGAACTTTGTAAGAACGGGAACAACCAGGGATAGAGGATGCACTCCACCCAATATTCCTGCTGAACAGGTAAGAATGTTAGAGTAATATTTCTGTAAAAATTACGTGTTCTTCTTGGGTTACCATCGATATGTCATAGTCGTTATTTTTTAACGAAAATGCTTGTAATGAATCTGCAGAAGTGGGTAGATAATCTGGCGAAATTAATTATAAAGTTCATTTTGCCACCAGCTAACGTCAGTCACAGCCTTCATGGATCTCTCTATTGTCTACGGCAGCAGCCAAACTCAGGCCAATCCCATCAGAGCTCGTCAAGGAGGTCGTTTATTGACCATTGTGAGAGGAGGTCGGGAATGGCCACCACAGGATCCTAACTCAACCGTCATCTGTGAAACTGCGCAGTCACCTAATGAACCTTGCTATTTGACTGGTAAGATATCAAAAGATCTTTACTTTCATATTCCATTTTATATCAAACAGGTATTTCATATCAAAGTCGCGAATAACCACTGATGACACTGATGGTACCACACACACATTAACCTAACATAAATTGCCTAGAGAAACCAAAATGACATGAAGTTTGTCCTTTATTATTGCTTTAATAAAATATAGCGCAGTACATTATTGCACTATTTTAATAAGGTTTCACAAGTACAGTTTTCACCAAACCACAATAGTTTTATTATCGATGTGAAGGTCTAAAGAAAGAATACAATATATTTGTATAAATTTATTCTAGGACATACCTATTTTATTATCGTTCAAGTATCACAAGAATGACAAATGACTTAAAATAGCAGACTTCGAAAACAGGACAAGGTTAGCGACTCCTTACATAACCATAAGCCTTTTGGATACTGACGGAAGATCCACTTGATCTTTACTTATAACTCCCTTGAGGGCAATTACTGCGTCGAGTGCGCCTGTAGAGGTTGGTCCAATTAAAGTTGGCCTCCATAAATATACCACAGAAGTTCCTACTCTTCAGAAGTAATCGTATAAACAACTTTTCCTAAAGTGACCGATAAATGTATACATTCTTATAGTTTATTATATACGGACACACACGTGTCGTAGAATTATTTCTTCACGTTTTTAGATAGTACATGATTAGTGTAGCAATTAGGTAATTGGTATCTACGCAGAGTAGGTAGTTACTTACTGTGACGGAATGTGACGGATATCCGCGCGGAGCAAAAGTATTGATGAATTTTCCTAATTGTTGAACTTACCTTCAATAGCCTAGAGCTTGAGAACTCAGTAACAAGTTCCCCCGGGTTTCAGACAGCAAGTAAAACAGTTTCTCTTCGGTACTACCGTATTGTCGTTGTGACTAACTATATCCAAAATTGGACAAGCAAGCACTATTATTGAGCAAGTGTATGTGAACTTGTATGTTTGGCGATGTGAGGTAAAGTTTTCTTTAAAAAAAATTAAATAATCTTGTCTATGATTTTTACGTTCTTTACGTTTTTATTATCAGGTGACATCCGTGTGAACCAAAACCCTCAGTTGACGACTCTCCAAGTCGTGCTGATGAGGGAACACAACCGCATCGCTGACGCGCTAGCTCAGCTCAACCCTCACTGGAACGACGAGACCATCTTTCAAGAAGCCAGACGTATCCACATTGCTGAGATACAACACATCAACTATTATGAATACCTTCCTATTCTGTTAGGTAAGTTGTTTATTTATTTGTTCTTCATACAGCAAAATAATGTAGACGGTCTTAATGCCTAAGGCATTCTAACCAGTTTTTGGGAAAATCTGAAAATTTATGAATGAGAACTGGATGATTTTCTTAGGGAAAACCTATTCTTACTATATTTTTCAGTGATATACATAATTTAATACTTTGGATAGTTTTATACATATAAAAGTTACTAAACAATTAGAAGTCTTCTGTTAATCATAAAATAAAACTGAAGGCATCTTAACATTAATTTACTTCGCATGAGAATAGGGAAAAGTTCCCTAGTATGTTACCATTTTTAGACTTTAGTGAAGTTTCTAAAAATCTCCTTGTATTATTTTGTTTTATGAATTAAAAAGTTAGGTTTTCACAAAGGGTTTATTAACGTTGTGTTGTCATTTGTGCAAAAAATACGCAGTTATAATCTAAAATGTTTATGGATTTCCTTCGAATTATGTCAGTTTTATAATATCTGTCAGCAATCTACTTGAGTATACAAGCTACCTATCTCTTTAGGAAGGCCTTTGACCGAGTCAATCACAAATTATTGCTTTCTTAATTGAATGCTTGTTGGGAGATTCATTGTAGCCTTTTGCGATAGATGAAAACGTACATAGTGAACCGGAGTGAAATTGTAACCCTTGGGAGCTAATTACTGTAACCTTGGAGTTTCTGTTATGTGTACCTATTGAATTGATAAAATAATATAAATAAAATAAACATCTTCTCTGTTGGACAAATTGTTCAGACATTGTTTGTTACATGTGTGTCTTATATTCAGGTTTTGAGAATATGGTGAAGAATAAACTCATCTACCCTGGTGCTCACGGCTACGTGAACGACTACAACCCTGGAGTGGATCCCTCCATCCTCAATGAACACACCACAGCTGCCTTCCGTCACTTCCACTCTTTGATCAGAGGTTATTTGAAGTACGTATTACTCTTTGTTTATTTTCTAATATATCGTCAGCAGTTTCACTTTCGTTTGTATCATTGTAACGATCAACAGTCCATTTTTATCCTCTTCACTACTTCAATAATATTCATTATTTTCTTATTCTTCTTCGTATACAAACTCTTTACAATCTAATCGTTCAGTATAGAGGTCAACACGCAATGAAATTATTTTAAAAGTTTATAAATTTGTTGTTTATAGTTTATTAACGCATTACATGCTTACGACAATTTTTAGAATTCATCTTATAATTGGCTTTGAAATCAGTATCCGATAGTCGGAAAAGGAATTCAAGTAAATCTACATTAGCTACTTTCAAATACTGCATAATTATTCATTTCTTTATTTTAGTTCGGGTTAGTCGCTTTATCGCCTACTATCGATTGAGATTGTGGTCGAATACTTAAAAATATATATTTACTACATGTAGAAAGGTTTTTCACAGGTTAATTTCAGAAAGCCGTCGCGCCATCGGAGCTGTGCGCATGAGTGACTGGTTCACCCGGCCACAACTTTTGGAACTTGACAACGCCTTCGATCACTTGGTTCGAGGACTTACAACCCAGCCACAAGACTTCAGCGACCAGTCCTTCGATAGTGAAATCACTCAGTTCCTGTTCAAGTAAGTTAAACCCTCTATTTTTTCTTGAGTGGTAGACACATATGTTAATATTTCGGATCACGTTTACCAATTACGTTATCTGTTATATAACACGGTATATCACCACGCCATTTCACCTACTGAGTACTTCGTTGATTTTTATCACTTACTGTCGGTGTATGTTGAAATGTCGTAAAGACTTTATTGGGAGGTACTCATACTTCACTACTCACCTTTTGTGCGGTGCATATAGACCGAACGTAAAAAAATTAGAATGCTCTCTATATTCAGAGGCTTCAGAGTTTATTAATAAATATTCAAATTAAGGTACTGCAATCAGAAAAGAAGGGTTAACGTCGGTCCGTAAATGCCGATGATTTACGACGAAAACAGTCGCCGAAATTGTGCTGAAGTTTTTAGTACTGTATGGAAGATACGAGGGAAATTTATTGCCTCATTAATATTAAAACCAATCCGGGTTGATATTACACCATCAAATTGAAATGTCTATAAAGTTGATGCTAACATCAACTTAGCAAAGTGCTATTTGATTTGAGATGAACTGTCAAGGTTTTAAAGTAATGTGAATAATTATTGAATCGTATAGCTAAAGTGTTTATCAGACAATGTGTGGTACGGTAGGTTTTCATTTCTTAGTCGATCGAAACATTCCTACACCTAATAATAATTGCATGTTTATATTTTAACATTCTCAGCTGGTACAGAAGTTGGTGGTTTGACCTGTCCTTAATTTATATGGCATATCTTCATTATCTACATCTGATTATGGACCAAACATTTCCTAAGATTAAACATAACATTACTATCTCATTCTTTAGAAAATTAATTAGTGCCTGTGGTTTATAATAATAAAATAATAATCGTAAATTCAAAATCAAATAATTATGATATGATATCAAAGGGATTTGGTCCGTAGTACAATTTACAAAGGGTGACAGGATTGCCAGTAAGTGAATTCAAAGTTCCTGTCGTTATAATTTGGACGTCACGGTTCCAAGAAATCTTTTCACTGTAGACTCAATTTGATGTTGGTTGGTTTCATCAATTAAATTCAAAAATGAACACGTTTGTTTAGGATTAAATACTTGGCGATTGATATTATTAGGAACGCCATAAGAAAGATGTGACGTGTTTAATTTCTGGGTCGCTAAGTTAAGAAATATAAATTCAAATTGTTGATGTGTTTAAATTTTATTTTTAATTTTTAGCCAGGACTCACACGAATTATGTAGTTGTGCTGGATGTACTGTAATAGATTAGTTTTCGAATAAAAGGGATTTACAACAAATCTGATGAAAACTAGGGTTTTACATTTTTTTACGGGATAAGCCAGTAGACCAGTAGACAGATTATCTGATGGTAAGCAATCGGCGTCACCCATGGACACTCGAACATAAGTGCCTTATCGGCCTGTTGGGGTTTCGAAATTTAAGGATTGTTGGGGATTCAGGAATTAGGGAGATTGGGGAGGGCGATACTATTACCCCAACCCCCAATCCCCAATCCCTAATCCCCAATCCCCAATCCCCAACCCAATCCCCAATCCCTAATCCCCAATCCCCAACCCAATCCCCAATCCCCAATCTTTAGACCTAGGTTATCTCATTCACACGAATAAACACAACGCGATCGTTGTGTAACGTCGGCTTTCTAAGAGGCCGTGGCATCACTCCGCACCATGGCGGGAGTACCAAAATTTTGTTCACTGCTTACCTCTTCGGGAAATAAAAGCACGGAATATTGAATAAAGGATCAAACGTTTTTAGGCAATTATTGTTGCTCACGTAGATACATGTTGTGATACCAAATGAATGGTCAATCACAACATTGATCCTACCCCAAGCGATTTTAAACCATGTTTGCGTTAAACACCCACGAATTAATTAAAATTTTCGCATGCTTTCATATCAGTAAAGTTATTAAAAAGTACATTTTTAAAATAGAGTAGTTATGTTTGCATTTGAATTTATTATGTTATTTTAATTAACGGTTGTTCATTGGATCTGACAAGGTATCATAAAAATTTCCGATGTAGGAGTCATAATGAAACTGCCATGTACCGAATAGCCTTCAAGAATATAATAATTATTTTTGGTTATTCCTCAAATGGATAATGACTGTGTTATTGACTTAAATTTTCTATTTTCATAAATATAATTGACTGCACGTTTAGCGCAATGCCTGAGCAACTGGCTTCCGCGCAACGTGTCGCGGTTCGATTCCCGCACGGAACAACTCTTTATGTCATCCACAGATTATTATTTCGGGTCTAGATGTCATGTGTATGTGAACTTGTATGTTTATAAATGCACCCATGACACAGGAGAAAATTCTAGTGTGTAAAAAAATTTATGTTGACGATAACCATTCTCCTATCAACTAAATTTCACACAATACTAGATTCAGTTAATATACAACAGTTCCAATTAAAACAAATAAAATTCTTTCAACAAAGAATTTAAAAGATCTCATGTTCCTTGATTAAAAGCGTAGCGAAATTCAATAAACATAATTTTCTTCATTCCCTCACTAGTTTATAAATAATCATCATAGTAAAATCAACAGCTGGTATTATTAATTACAAATCCAGTTACAACCAGTTACTAGACTTAATTGTTTGCGCTACAACCTTAATAACAAAACTTAGGTAGGTACTCTACGTTTGAAATTATCTTTGTTTGACTAAAGAGCTTAAATCCTTCAAACCTGAAAGGTCGTTAGTAACAGTACTTAGAACTATTAAATTATATTGAAAAACTACCTTAAGCTAGTGGTTTCGTCTGTATTTCTGTATGCTGTTCTATAAAACTAGATAAGATAGTTTATGTGTAATTTCAGATTGCAATTTATATTGTGTCTGTATATTAATTATTACATTTCATCGAGATTAGTTTAGCAGTTTCGGTGTAATTGCGTGACAAGCATCCATTTCTACCTAAATGTAAGAAGCACTATACAAACTCCTGTATCAGCTTTAGTTCGAATCAGTAATTTCATCATCAGAGATGGTAGGTATCAACATCCTTATTAATATGACATCTTTGTTCTAACAGGCGTAACAATACTTTTGGAGGTGACCTGCGTGCGAGAGACATCCAAAGAGGTCGTGACCACGGTTTGGCTTCGTACATTACTACTAGAGCTGCTTGCGGTCTTCCTGCTCCTAAGACCTTCGCTGACATGTTGGACTTCATTTCTCAAGAGGTATGTACACTGATCACTTTAATTTAATTATTGACGTCTAAATGTACGTTTCTGGTCTAATTGAAATAAATGACTTTGACTTTGATTGTTTATCAAGTGGTTGTCACGAAAGCCAAATTCAGAATATAAGTAGATAAAAGCAGATGTATTAATATTTACATCAAGTTTATTTAACTAAAGTGTCCTTTTGCCTTTAATAGAGTCGTGTGGGATTGTTGGTTTATATCCTAGTTTACTGTGGCTGATAACAATCAGGCCAGTCCTTTGGTCACGCAGTTAAGATCTTAGAGGAGGAATCCGATGTAATCATTGGAATTTCGCTCTGTTCATGTGTTGGTTTTGTGTACTTGGTTTACGTTTGTTTTTTTTTCTGACGTAATTACATAATCCTAATTAATTTTGAAAGCAAAGTAGGTACACACTCGGGTAGAGGCGACAATCGGTTACTAGATACCAGTATCGTCGCGGAGAACCTAACGGGTAACCGGGGCTCCGGCTCGACGTGCAGGAGAAGGAACGGGGTGGTTTTTAGTCAGTAAGAGTCTGACTCTCCCTCCCGACTCACCCAGGCGGGAGCAGTAATTCGATGATTTTGCCCCTTAAAAAAAATAGAGAATTATTGTCAAACCTGTTTCACCATTTATTATTAACCGTTGTGGATCCAGGATTCAAAATATTAATAATTTCATCACACGATCCTAAGTTAGTACTAATGACTATAAGCCTGAATGTTATTTAATTTACTATAACTATGAGGTATTCGTAGTAAAATAGTTCAGTGTGAGTGTAATCACAATTTTAGTAGGTAAACAATACGCCTCTTAAGGTTTTCGCAACCGATATTAAATTGTGTTATTATTAGAACCCACTTGTAATTTACCAGTTTAAGTATCATATGAGTTAATAATACGTTTAGAATAAGAGGAATTAGAAGTATCAATAGCTTTATATGATGTCAAAATAGAATAAAGTTGTGTAATAACGAGTGGCGTGCAGTCCATATAGACTAATAGGCTTCGCTTACCTTATAAATAACATACATTAAATGTACAAACGCGTTTATTAAGATTCAATAATATAATAAAAGTTTGTACAAAAACGCATAACATAAGTATGCAATTAATAACGTAAATTTTAATTTAAACGTGTCGAATCTGGAACTGTGATCAAATCCTTGGTTGAGGAATCTAATGTTGGGATGATTCTGCAGTATACATTCTGATAAAGTGCCTAGTGACGAGACTTATAAACATAACTTGTACATGTTGAGATTTATAAACAAACATACCTGGAAAAAAGTATCAATCCACTTGCCTTAAAAAATAAACACAAACGTGTCACTATATTATTTTAGGCAAATCTCATTGTCAACCATTTTTCTGTTTTTCCAACAGAACGTGGCTGCTCTCCAAAACCTTTACGCAACTCCTGAAGACGTAGACCTGGTGGTAGCTGGTTCTTTGGAGCGCAACGTGCCAGGAGCTCAAGCTGGACCGACCTTCCTCTGCATCATCACGGAGCAGTTCTACAGGACACGTGTTGGAGACAGATACTTCTATGAAAATGGAGCTGATCCTGACATTGCTTTTACACCAAGTAAGTTATAATATAATTATTAGCATCAAGAGGATGTTTACGAGATGAAAACCTCACCTTAGAGCACTGCGTCAATTTAGCCCGATTACATTCAAGACTGTAGTGATTATGTATCCTATTCGCGTCTCTGAAGTTGCCATCGGTTCACCCAGCAGTAGTAGTAATAAATACCTACTTAATTCAAAACTGTGATAACTAGTCCAACCAAGAATATAGCCAGATGCCCGTTGATCTATGATAAGGATGTTTTGACATTCAGACGAATTTGACTAAGACTTAGTGCTGATCCTAACCTAGTTGGTAAAGAGCCAAGAGTCTCTGTCTTGGCTTACACAAATACAAATCTTTTAGTTATCTATAAATAAATATTACCAAAAGTAGGAAGGAGTATGTACGCAAAAAAATATTATGTTTAGGGAAACATAATAAACAGTTAGGGAACTAAGAGTCGATTTTTCAACAGATCATTCTTAACTGTAAAATAAAATTGACATTGACAGTTTTTAATATGGGAGAATTGTCAAATATTCATCCGATAAATGGCGTTGGAAAAATTGGCCCTAAGCCATATAGGCTATGTTAATTAAGCTTGAACACCTTTACATGTTCCACGATTAACAAATTATTGTTATTTTACATGATGTCTTATGTGATATGATCCTTACCTAACTTCAAGAATATACATAATTGTATTAAATAAATTATCACTAGGAAAGTTATTACCTATTTACTTATCTGCCATAAAACACTTTTGTTTTCTGTTTTGTTTCCTGTTCGAATAAATCAAGGAATTATCTTCGTTGCTCAAATATTATCATCCTGAAAGCGACTTCTGACAACAGTATAATATATAATTTGTATCTGGAACGGGGCCGAATAAATAAATATTGTAGGTAAAAATGTTAGCTAGAATTTATTGCTCTCCTATTTTTTTTCCTATGGCAGTCTCACGAAATAGGTTATTCGATACTTGATGGATCCGGCCTGTCAGATATGTTGTTTATGTGAATTGCTGGCAAACAATAGCTTCATCGTCTTATTACTAAATAATGAAACGTTGAAGTATCGTTACTTTACTTCTACATTATGGAACTCTACGTATTTTGATGTTATTTATTATTTTTTAATTTTATTTTATACAGGCCACATACTGAACTAAATTATTATTTTAACCAACTTCGACGCTAAAAATATAAGGTCAATAAAACTGCTGAAATACGATTAAGTGTAATTCAAGTGTCGATACGCAAGAGTCGTCCAGCCATTTACGATCATTCCATATGACAGTTTCTTCAACCACGAAGTGCCTCACTCATAAAAGATGGAATGTGAAAAATAAGTATCTTTACAAAGACAACCATTTCAAAAAGAGTCTGTGCAATACGGATCATTTTCAAAGTTTTTCCCAATGTTTCAGAGGCGTATTTTACATATCAAAAAAGTGTATTTGAATTACACATAAATTTATTTTCTACTGTCATTCAAAAGGCAGATAGCAAAGACAAGAATAAAAATTATAAATCAAAAACCTTCCTCGTCGAATTTTTCGCTAAAGCACCCATTAACTAAAGGATAAAGGCAATTATTCGCAAGATTCGTGGCCACGTGTGAGTGTGCCGATGTTATCAAAACAAGTCTTCCCCTACACACGGCCTTATTTAATTATTTTCCTCAACAAATCTTGTTAACCGTAGGTATGTCCTGTGCATTAGAGAACAAATGGCATGTCACATAAATTAGCGTAACATATGGCTAACCATTTCTTGATTGTGTCATACAGGAAATATCATAGGGATTCGTGTTGACATACACAAAGATATTGTTGTGTTTGTCTGAAGATATAATCACGTTTTGTTTATATTGTGTACTTCATTCATTTCTGATAGACGAATAACTGTGTCAAATACTTGTTGTAACGAAAGACACAAGCAGTGATTTCCAGAACCATGAGTAAAATAAAGATCTATGTTAGAGAGAATTTATATTATATAGCATCAAAAAGGATCAAACTCAATTATATTAGGGTACCATTTTGTACGTTACTCAAACTACAGGGTCGGCTATAGTGTGATGAATGACGAAAAACTATGAGGTTCTTTTGATAAATATTATGCTTTATTAAACAGGCCAGCTCGACTCGATACGCAAGGGAGCATCAATGGCGCGGCTGCTGTGTGATAACAGTGACGGAATACAATCTATGCAGCCCAGAGCCTTCCAACAGATATCGCACACGTAAGTATGGCTATTACTTACAGTCCCGACTTTTACGACTATGTCGCAGTGTAAAAAATTCAGAAGTTCGATGAGGATTCTGCTGTAAAAGGAGCAGTTGTTTTGGTCCTAAAAGAAGATATGTACTTGTAGTGACAAAAAATAATGTTACGGTATCTGTTCTTAAAACTATATCATTTTATGATTCTTTTATTTTAATATTGATGCACACTTTTTAGTAGTATTGATAAAATGTGTCATGTGGTCATTGAAGATAAATTGCAAAAAAAATATATAGAAAACTAGAACCCACCAATTATGCAGTACTATTATTATCAGTCTGCTGTATATTTTTGTATCGTGGCTTCTTTAAGTACCTTACTTAGCCCGTAGATATGGAATATGTTCCTATTGATGTCCATTTTGGGGAGTTAAAAGTTATTGTGACGATCGTAATGTAGTGACTATACTGTGCGTACATCGTTGTAGTGACAGCGTGTGAATAATATTTTAAGTAACTTGAGGATTATTTCTAGTATATTATCTATGAGGATACCATGATGTTAGTGGATCCACCTGTAACTTAACACAGTGAATAATTGAAAAGTAATCTTGGATTTGTACTAATTATATTGTATTTTTTCCAGGAACGAACTTGTACCATGTGCATCGCTGCCAGCTATTGATCTAACCTTATGGCAAGATGCAAGAGGCCATTTTTAATATATAAGAAATAGTATTAAATAACAAAGAAAACAAATTAAAATGTCACCTAGAACTAACAAAGATTAATTTGTTAAGAACTTTTTCAAAACGAAACTTCTGAAATAACAATTGCACAACACTATTATACTATGCTGGGATAATAGTTTTTTAAGCTTGACGTGACGTTTTGAGTTAAATAGCTTAACACTTAACAATTTTTGCTTTTTTAACAAGTTTTATCGACATGATTAAACAAACAATACTTTTTGATATAAGTCTATCAGAATCTGTCCATCAAACAATTTTTCAATTTCATTTCCAAATGTATACATTTTTTTATTTATTTGTACAGATTTTGACACTAAGTTGTATAATAATGTGTGAACATTGCCATTTTTATGTTTGTGCTATTCTAGAATACGTAAGTACATGTTTTGACAAAACCTGAATGGATAATAATATATTTTTTTCATACTAAAGATATGAATGGAACGTAAGAAAGCTGTGTGTTTGTAATGCTGAACTAATAAAGAATTATTTTTATGTATTGAAAAGTGTTTTATTTTTATAAGAAAAGTACGAAAATATCTTTGATTAATCAAAATATTTGGGTTTCCGGGTTCAAGTTTTGTAATTTCAATATCAATAAAAATATCGAACGTTCATGGAGCTTTCTTTGGCAAATGATCAAAGGGACGAATATGTTTACAAGTTAACAATTTAAAATATTTTTTTTTTGTATGGAAAGTTGGTTTTGTTGTTGTGATGTCAGCATATTTTGTGCATTCTAATCTGTTTCTTGAACAATGCTTTTAGACAAAGTACATACTCGAAGAGACTATTAGTTGCAGTCTTTTGGTACGTAAAGCTAACCTTAGCGGTATTTGTTTTCCACTTATTCTAGGTTTCACAATTTATTTATAAACATTTGTGTTGCAATGTGCGGTGCTGGAATCTACGTCAGGTGTAAAATGCCTGTACCTATTACAAAGCTCCAGGTCTCGATCTCACAAAATAACATAAAGTGTACAATAAATACGATGGTGACCGTGGGCACTCAATCGATTTCGAGAACGTTCGATAGTGATCGAGGTCGCTCAAAAATAATTAAGGATGCTCTCTTTTTTCAGAACTCTCGATTGTTTTTGAGTAGCATTTAAAGTGATTAAGTAACGCTCGAAAATAGTCGAAGACGCTTCATCAATTTCGAGGACGCTTAATCATTTTCAGTGCTTACTCAGTCACTAATCAGTTTAGAGGTCTCTCAGTTTCTACTTGATTAAACTGTCAAACACCAAGCGGTCACCGGTGACCGCAACCTATTGTTCTATAATTGTGTCTATAATGACCGTACTCGACGAGTTAAGGTAGTTTATGATATTGTAACAGAACAGTGGTTCAGTAAGCGGTTTTAATTTTGTTTATCAGCAAAATATTATTGAGACCTTTTGGATTCCGAGAAGTACAAGTGTATGTATAGCATTCACCCCTTTTACATAGCTATGAAAATAATAATAATCATGAAATTCGAATATATACATTTGTTAGATGGTTGAGGCAAGGGCCTGATGCAGGAAGCAGTACTTCTGGACACGGCGCGTATTGTCCGGAAATTCCTTTTTCTGGAGCCCTGACCATCGGTAGCTTGAATTTCACCCGTTACTGGTGGGTTGCTTTTTATACTTTTAAATGTTTTTTTTTTATATAATCAAATATTTAAAGATATATAAGTCAAGTATAAAAATGAATAAAGGAAATAATTATCATTTATCAAAGATAGTGTTTTACGGCTTTCGTTGTCTCAACCCCTTCATGGAAATGTGGCCGTGTGAATGGAATGGTGGACGTAATATATGATTCAGGCTCAGTTCTGACTTCAAATTACCACATTGAATAACTTAACCAAACGAATCCATTCCCCACACATTTTTGATTAAAAACGTTGACAAATTGATTAAATCTATGTTTTTATAAAAACTATCGTGATACATGCTAAATTAAATAAAAAATCTCGTAAATAGAGGTATACTGAGAAAAGCTTTACTAGTTTCTAGTCACAAAGGGACTCTTCCTCATGAGTAGCGTGTGCAGTCGTGGGGATGTCGATGGCTGTGAATGGTATCTGCGTTGGAGTTGGTGCTATCGTTGCGCGCCCATTGCGCCCTCTGCTGGAAACTACGCGCGTTTGTTTCCAACTTGACTTGGTCATCATGAATGGCATTGTGACAATCACAATAATACAACGATTAAAGACATTATAGTAAGGAAACTTCTCCGAGTTGTTTGATTTAGTTAGGTAACGTTACGTTAATACCTAACTGCATGGAACACGTGCAGCTTTGTATTAATATCGGTATCGATATAGGGAACAACTACACAACTTCGCAAACAACATATTGCTTTTCAAGTATATGTTACACATGTTACCTAAATCTATATAGTTTATTGGACGTATACTTAGTTGAATGACCTTTGTTCTTTTGTTTCTCCTGTATTTCACCCTCCTTTTGAGTTCTGTAGCCAAATGGCGAAAATTGGAACACTTGTCATCTTTTAATCTCTTAATAATCCTCATAATGTCTGTCTGACCAGTAACCTTACTGGATGCACAATTACTCCTCTCCCCAATCATCCCAATTCCTGAATCCCAACACTCCTCAAATTCCTAATGCTCAAAAGGCCGGTAGCGCACTTGTAACATATCTGGTGTTTCGGGTGTCCATGTTTGGCGCCGATTGCTTACCATCGGGCGATCTACTCGTTTACGGCTTATTCCATGATAAAAAAAAAATTACTTTAACGAGTATATATCTATATTAAAAGAACACAAACGGTACATGCACCAAGCTAGCTTTAACATAACATAACATAACATAACATCACGCTTTTTATCCCCGAAGAAGATAGGTGAAG